AGATATCGTTTCTATATCTGTAAAATACAGATATCATTTATATATTTGTAAAATAAAGCTATCGTTTCTATATCTGTAAAACACAGATATTATTTCTATATCTGTAAAATACAGATATCATTTCTAGATTTCAATGTTTAATCTCTTTACATTCTATGAGCTATTATCCAAGATCAACACGTTTTGAAGTCTGTTCATAGAAATTTATTGATATGTTTTGCGGAGTGTATGCTATAATATATTTAATATTAGGCTATATTTAATATAGGTATAAAGTGCAGCTGCAATCATTTGAGGGTCAGAAAAATTAGAGAAAAAATTATTAAATAAGGTATTTATCAGAACTTGCAACCAATATGACTATTTGATACATAGGAAATGGAAGATAATAAATATGACTAATAAAAGGGAATATGAATAATAAATAAATAATAAATATAAGATAATAAAAGATAATAAAATAATAAATATGGAGACAAAAGTCAAGGAAAGGTCACTAGTAAAAAAATAACCTGAGTTTAATTTGCTGTAATTTTAGACAAAAATAGTTAGGAGATATTGCGCTTTCTATGTAACAAAACACATTAAGTCTATTGTGATTTTAAATGAATTTGTTAATGAACAGGAACTAACCTGGGTAATTCTCCTTATTTTGAGAGGCGCCCCAAAACACTAAGGAACCTGAGGAATGCAAGTCCTAGTTCAGAGTTCACAAGAGATAAAGATCCGAGAAATAAATATATATATATATATATATATATATATATATATATATATATATATATATATATATATATATATAACTGAAAACTCACACCCCAGAAGTGACTCGAACCCATACTCCCAGATGCCACGCAACTGGTATGTACAAGACGCCTTAATCCACTTGACCATCACGACCGGACAAAATGAGGTGATAGCCGAGGCTATTTGAACCACCCCACCGCCGGCACTCGGATAGTAATCTTGGGCATAGCATTTTACCAAATCACCTCATTCTTTGGGGCACACGTGAGGAACACAAATGCGAACAAGCCTGAATGGTCCCCAGGACAATATGCAACTGAAAACTCACACCCCAGAAGTGACTCGAACCCATACTCCCAGATGCCACGCAACTGGTATGTACAAGACGCCTTAATCCACTTGACCATCACGACCGGACAAAATGAGGTGATAGCCGAGGCTATTTGAACCACCCCACCGCCGGCACTCGGATAGTAATCTTGGGCATAGCATTTTACCAAATCACCTCATTCTTTGGGGCACACGTGAGGAACACAAATGCGAACAAGCCTGAATGGTCCCCAGGACAATATGCAACTGAAAACTCACACCCCAGAAGTGACTCGAACCCATACTCCCAGATGCCACGCAACTGGTATGTACAAGACGCCTTAATCCACTTGACCATCACGACCGGACAAAATGAGGTGATAGCCGAGGCTATTTGAACCACCCCACCGCCGGCACTCGGATAGTAATCTTGGGCATAGCATTTTACCAAATCACCTCATTCTTTGGGGCACACGTGAGGAACACAAATGCGAACAAGCCTGAATGGTCCCCAGGACAATATGCAACTGAAAACTCACACCCCAGAAGTGACTCGAACCCATACTCCCAGATGCCACGCAACTGGTATGTACAAGACGCCTTAATCCACTTGACCATCACGACCGGACAAAATGAGGTGATAGCCGAGGCTATTTGAACCACCCCACCGCCGGCACTCGGATAGTAATCTTGGGCATAGCATTTTACCAAATCACCTCATTCTTTGGGGCACACGTGAGGAACACAAATGCGAACAAGCCTGAATGGTCCCCAGGACAATATGCAACTGAAAACTCACACCCCAGAAGTGACTCGAACCCATACTCCCAGATGCCACGCAACTGGTATGTACAAGACGCCTTAATCCACTTGACCATCACGACCGGACAAAATGAGGTGATAGCCGAGGCTATTTGAGCCACCCCACTCTGGGGTGTGAGTTTTCAGTTGCATATTGTCCTGGGGACCATTCAGGCTTGTTCGCATTTGTGTTCCTCACGTGTGCCCCAAAGAATGAGGTGATTTGGTAAAATGCTATGCCCAAGATTACTATCCGAGTGCCGGCGGTGGGGTGGTTCAAATAGCCTCGGCTATCACCTCATTTTGTCCGGTCGTGATGGTCAAGTGGATTAAGGCGTCTTGTACATACCAGTTGCGTGGCATCTGGGAGTATGGGTTCGAGTCACTTCTGGGGTGTGAGTTTTCAGTTGCATATTGTCCTGGGGACCATTCAGGCTTGTTCGCATTTGTGTTCCTCACGTGTGCCCCAAAGAATGAGGTGATTTGGTAAAATGCTATGCCCAAGATTACTATCCGAGTGCCGGCGGTGGGGTGGTTCAAATAGCCTCGGCTATCACCTCATTTTGTCCGGTCGTGATGGTCAAGTGGATTAAGGCGTCTTGTACATACCAGTTGCGTGGCATCTGGGAGTATGGGTTCGAGTCACTTCTGGGGTGTGAGTTTTCAGTTGCATATTGTCCTGGGGACCATTCAGGCTTGTTCGCATTTGTGTTCCTCACGTGTGCCCCAAAGAATGAGGTGATTTGGTAAAATGCTATGCCCAAGATTACTTTCCGAGTGCCGGCGGTGGGGTGGTTCAAATAGCCTCGGCTATCACCTCATTTTGTCCGGTCGTGATGGTCAAGTGGATTAAGGCGTCTTGTACATACCAGTTGCGTGGCATCTGGGAGTATGGGTTCGAGTCACTTCTGGGGTGTGAGTTTTCAGTTGCATATTGTCCTGGGGACCATTCAGGCTTGTTCGCATTTGTGTTCCTCACGTGTGCCCCAAAGAATGAGGTGATTTGGTAAAATGCTATGCCCAAGATTACTATCCGAGTGCCGGCGGTGGGGTGGTTCAAATAGCCTCGGCTATCACCTCATTTTGTCCGGTCGTGATGGTCAAGTGGATTAAGGCGTCTTGTACATACCAGTTGCGTGGCATCTGGGAGTATGGGTTCGAGTCACTTCTGGGGTGTGAGTTTTCAGTTGCATATTGTCCTGGGGACCATTCAGGCTTGTTCGCATATATATATATATATATATATATATATATATATATATATATATATATATATATATATATATATATATATATACACACACAGCATGGATTAAAAGTATAGATAATATACAGTGTGGCTTAGGGGTAATTATGAATCATTTACGCACAGTGGGAGTTAATACTAAATATGCATCATTTACACACACAGTGTGGTTCAGTGTAAGTACACATCATTTACACAGTGTGGGTTTTGGATACGTATGTATCATTTAAAGACAGTGGGGGTTAAGGGTAAGTATATATAATTTTCATAGAATGGGGGGGTTAAAGGTCAAGTATATATATCATTTACAGACAGTGGGGTTCAGGGTAAATATATATCATTTACACAAAATGGGGGTTAACCCTAAATATATATCATTTATATAGTGAGGGTTAAAGGTAAGTATAACAACTCATCCTCCTGTTTAGAGCATACCTATTGTGACGGTCATCAGTAGTCACGATTTCGTACGTACTTAGCTTTTAGATAGTAGCATACTGACTAGTAAGGAATTCTTTTAAAATAAATGAAGCTAAAAAGCAAACTTAAATATTCCTAGGCCTAGTATAGCACACACATGTACTATATTAGGCCTCATATAAGGTGTATTAGGCCTAGAAGATTAGATTAGGTTAGTTTATTTTGTCAAAGCAACACAAGTAAGAAATAGTTTTCCGATTGGTCCAACTCAGTAGTTCAGGGGCCAGATTCACAAAGCAGTTACGCAAGCACTTACGAACCTGTACATCTTTTCTCAATCTTTGGCGGCTTTGTTTACAATTATTAAACAGTTAATGAGCTCCGAAGCACCAGGAGGCTGTTTATAACAACAACAACAGTTGATTGGAAAGTTTTCATGCCTGTAACCTGTTTAATGAATGTAACCAAAGCCGTCAAAGATTAAGGAAAGATGTACACGTTCGTAAGTACTTGTGTAGCTGCTTCGTGAATCCGGCCCCAGATTTCTACTTTGTAATTTCGCTGTACGTCGGTATATATACAATCTCCCTCATCATTATTATAAGTACTACCTAAACAGGACGATGGGTTGCATTTACATACAGTGCAGGTTAAAGGTAAGTATATATCATTTACATAGTGAGGGGGATACAGAAAAGTATAATCATTGCAATTCTTTATTTCTTGTGCTTTCCTACTACATCTTTATAAAATGTATATTAGTTTTGAAATCTATTCAAATATATCTTTCGAGAGTTTTATTTCATGAGACGAGATCCTGAACACATTTCAATCCATAAACATTTTCCATAAACACACTTGTACTATTACTCACTGTTGTTGACTTGTTAAGTAATTTTAAAATATTTATACGCTTCCTAAAGAGAAATAACTTGTTCGTAGGCATGTGGTGAGCTGATCGCCGTCGACATCGTCAAACATCAACAGCGCTGTTTGGGGCAGGTGTTCCCAGGGGTAAACGGCTCAGAATACTGGACTCTGAACCCATCCTCCTTAACCTCTCCATTGTAGCTTCTTCACGAGGGGCAGGAGAGGATGGAGAGCTAGGGTTTGCATCTGCCTTGTAAAATAAGCATCGGTCAAAATGTCTGGAGTTCTATGGAATTAAATGACAAGCATAAATAAGAATTTAGAAATTAAAATGTTAAGTGACTTGGCAGATGTCTACACGTCGTAATGGCTGCTTATTCCTGAGTAGCAAGCTACTCTGTTCCTGGCAACAGTGGTCTATAACTACCATAGTCGTCCTCCACAGGGACCCTTCACCAGCAACACAGCTGGTCAACGCCACTACAATTGGATTTTTCTTTATTCGAAAACCTCTACACAACTTGTGGTGCGCGTATAGCAACAAATCTTGGCTTCACGAGCTGTTCTGAAGAATAGTTAGGAGCCTCCACCACCATCGTCCCCAGCCATGACCGTTCAGTATGTTGACCAGCTCTCCCGGAACAGCGAGTGGGCCAACTTTAAGCTTCTTATCAAGTGAGTTGGATCGGCACCAGTTATATTAATGAACAAATCCACAAGGGCCGTGACGAGGATTCGAACCTCGGCCTGTCACGGCCCTTGTGGATTTGTTCGCTTGATGCATCACGCTATTGTGATTTCTGTGTGCAGTTATATTATTGCCAATGTACAATCGTATTGAATAACATCTCTTATGGGAGAAGGATGCTAATGATTTTGGTGTTACAGGTGGCGAGGGAGCGTATACAAGACTGTATGGCGGAATATGCTGGTCTACCTCCTCCTCTATCTCATTATATCCTTCGTTTACCGCTTCGCCCTCCCAGACTGTCATCGCAGGCAAGTATGGCAGACTCCCAATCACCCTGGTTTATATGCTTGTATTGGGAGTCAGGCCTGGGGCCAGTAACTGGAACCGGCTAGTTTTATTCACCACCAAGTGCATGTTTATTATGTTTTTAGTGTCGAGTACATCAACCCGGTCTCGCACTTGCTTATAGTCAATATTTTACTTATGAATAAGTGCATATGTGACATACTAATTTATTGTGAATATTTGAATTTACCTTGAAAAGCTGAATAGGAAACCACAACCTAACCTAACCTTCTTAGTATGTTAAAATATTACAGTTAGTACTGAACCTATACCTATATTGATATTACAGTTTTATAAAAATAATAATACAAAACTAAAATATTTAAACAAATTGTAAAGTAACTCAGGATATTGTCAAATTTTGTATAAAATCTGTATTGTTTAATAAAACTGAGAGGAAAAGTTAGTGCCTTGAAAAAAATATAGCTTGGAATATGTCACATATTTACTTATTTATAAGCGAAATACTGACTATAAGCAATAAGTCATATATGTGCTGTCATGTGTGAGAGCGGGTTGCATCACAGCGGCGCCATCCCTGCTTCCTCTGAGTAGCCCGTTTGGGAACCAGTGGGTCGAAGTGGTTCTCGTTGGAGTTCTGACCTGAACTTCTCAGTATATCTCAATCATTGAGAATAAGTAATTGATCAGTATCCTGATTAGGCAATGTTTCCAAATTTTCACACCTGCGAAAATCTTAAATTTGCTACTGGTATGTCTAGTTATCTAGTATGATTTTTCACTGAGGTTATGCAAAGACACTTTATATTAAACATTTATAGGAAAATAATGTAGAACATACTTCAACAAAATTTTCCGTTAGAAAAATTAACTGCATATTTATCTATCATCAAATATAGGGAAGATGGGACGAGTGTTGTTCTATATGTATAAAGCAATTCAATTATATATATATATATATATATATATATATATATATATATATATATATATATATATATATATATATATATATATATATATATATATATATATATATATATATATATATATATATATATATATATATATATATATATATATATATATATACCTTACCTTATCCCTGAAGGTCAGTCATATTATAATTTGCAGTAAAGGGAACCTTTTAATTTTTTGCAGTGCTAAGTAAACTTTTTATTTATTCATAAAACTTATTTGTATCTGTGTATTTAAATTTAAATAAAAATTAGCATGAATAAATATTTCATGAGTAAATTAACATTTTTTAAATTTCTTGAAGTTTTACAAAAAATATATATCTGAGAAAATTTAAGTTTTACTAATTTTTAGTTCAACAATTTTTAAGTACAATAATAGACTTTTTATACCTATCATAAACTGTAAAACAATAGTTAAGCTACCGAAAAGATGGACTTTTCCAAAAAACTTTTAAAATTAGACTGATTCAAAAATTTTTAAATTTTAGCTATTGACCCAGTCCACCCCGGGTCTTCCTCTACATCTGTCTCTTGTTGTTCCCTTGAAAAAAATATATATATATAATTTTATAATTTTGTACCAGTATACCAATGAATTATCGTGCATTAGAAAGTGGGTTGTGTAATCTTCATGCTGTGCATTTTATTCGTGTATTGTTTTTTATTCCAATAATTGATATTTTCAGAAATTCATTCACATGGCGAAAAGGATTTATTATTCAGGTGACTATCTGAAACTTGGCTCCAGCACAGTTATCACCACTGGCATTAAGAAGTCATAAAGCATCCACAACATATTAAGAAGGATTTCGAGTTCTTTTGGGGTCATGAGACTGGTCTAAACGTTATGGTTTGATCCTACAGAGAGTTTTAGGCAACTGGCCATAGCAGCAATGCAGACATTTTATGAAGTCGCTTTGGAAATTGCCAAACAAAAAAAAAGCATCACACGATTGTTTATAAAAGTTGCATGTTGAATATAAAGTTAATTTTTGAGGAATCTAGCGAGGAGATGCGCCAAATATGTGTGTCAAATAACGCTATTCATAGGCAAATTTCAGATATGTGTATAGACGTTGAAGATCAGGATTCGGGTGAAATCAAAGCTTCTCCATTATTCTCACCTCAAGTTGATGAATCAGCGGATGAAAGTTTATATTCTCATTGCTTGTCTTCATGAAGTATCTTTGTTCACATGGCATCAAAGAAGAATTCTTGTTTTGTAGTGCATTTTAAACCACTACAAATGCTGAAGATATTATAGAGAAGATATGCACCTTTTTCTCAAGACTGAATGACTGGAGTGGAAAAAAGCGTCTTTGGTGTTTGTACAGATGAAACACCAGTTATACTAGGATCAAAGTCAGACTTCCAGGCAAAAGGGAAAGAACTTGCTCCTCGTGGAAAGATAATTTATTGCATGATCCAACAATATGCTCTTGCCAGTAACTCTTCTAGCCTCTCTGCAGGAGGTGCTGTAATACATGATAACATTTTTTAACTACATTAAAGCTGGGGCCCCTCAACAGCCGCCTGTTCTGATATATCATATAATGATATAAAAGAGGACAGTGAGACAAAAAACGTTCGGAGCCTAATATGAAATTTACAAGTCTTCATTATCTGAATTCCAACTTCAAATTACTGCATCATTTTATTTTCTATATAACCTGCAAATTTAAATGTTCATTAATTTTCTAATCAGGAAAAATACGTTTATTACATTAACAAAACTCAAAAAACTTATCATAAATTTCTTCCCATATTTAACAAAAATTCTACAAACAATATATCGCCTGTCCATCTAAAACGTGTGTCCCAGCCTCATGTATCCATAGAACACCTATATCTATACATAACAGCACAAACATGTATACTATACAATAATTACAGACCGCACTCTATGTGGACTGTAATTATTGCTTGCCCGGGTATTTCTATGCCTTAGCGAACCAAGAGGAAACAATCAGGTTATCATCATGCAGCTGTTTCTTCACATGTCTTAAACTACCTGCTGCTTACAGAATATTTGAGAAGGTGGTGTTGAGGCTCTCAAGCTTCGGGAGTGTCATTCCCATCTCCTTCGTGTTGGGCTTTTACGTGGGTCTGGTGGTCAACCGCTGGTTGGATATCTTCAGGAACATGCCCTGGCCTGACAACGCTGCTATCCTGGCCTCCACCAACGTCCATGGCACGGTCAGTCTTTGCCACTACCTTCATTTTGTTGTTGTTTTAGATTCAGCTACTCGGAACAAGAAGTTCCAAGTAGCACTGGCTATGGTGAGCCCGTAGTGGACTTACCTGGCACAGGAGCGGGGCAAGTAGCACGGGCTATGGTGAGCCCGTAGTGGACTTACCTGACACAGGAGCGGGGCAAGCAGCACGGGCTACGGTTAGCGCTACCTTCATGTTATTGGTTGCTTATATTCAACACAACCACTCTAGGTCAGATGTTTCACTTATTTTCTCACTGCCCCCTTTTAGTAAGTCTAAGCTCTTATTGGGAAAGCATTATTCTTAAGACTATGTGGGTCCATTTGTTTTGCTAAGTAACATTGGGTTTGGATTCCTTCTGAATGATATTGGCCTTAAATAAATATTAACCGTACAATGCTGTCATGCCACAATGCTGCCCCATTGATTATCCAAACAATATATCCTGCTACAGACTCTAAGTAGTGAATGATGCCTCATTCAGCAGCTCATTGATAAAGACTGGAACAAAGTTGATATATTTTTATAACGTAGCACGTTACCAAATATGAGTTCGGTTTGTTGTTGTTGTTAAAGATTCGCTACCTGGAACAAAAAGTTCCAAGTAACACGGGCTATGGTGAGCCCGTAGATAGTTATTATGAGTTTGGTGTTGCAGAGCGAGGAAGCGAGGACAATTAGAGTCACTGCCCTGCGCTATGTCAACCTGAGCATTGCCATCACCTTCGCCACCATCTGCCCGGCCGTCAAGGAAACACTAAACACTGCCGAAGACCTCCTGCGTGAAGGTACATGGTTTATTATTATTTTCTACCACAGACGTGGCCACACATTTACAGTGCTAACCAGCATATATACATTTTGTTCTGTCCTCCATGGACGGGGTGAGAGATTTGTCAAATATACAGTTCAGGGATTTATTGACCAATCAAGCACAGAAGGTGATCGTAGTGCTTTTAATTAAAATGTTAGGCTAAGCTACATACGTAAATACATAGATACACAGATTTATGAACAGTGTAAGGGTTAAAAATATGTCATAGATGAATGTGTTATGAATAGAAAATTGGTTATCTGCACGCAAAGATTTTATCCTGAATGTAAATGTATTGAAACAGCAAGACATAATAGTGGAGTGTCACAGGGGTCAGTCATAGTGCAAGTGGAGTGTCCCAATCTTGAGATAAGTGGAGTGCCACAGTCTTGATACAAGTGGGGTGCCACAGGGACAGTCTTGGGACAATTGGAATGCCACAGCGGATCATCTTGGACCCTGTGTTGCTCTTGCTATACATGAGCAGCAGTGATTGTAAGATGACTTAAAAATCATATGTAATAGGTCTAAGGGGTTGTTATATATGAGAAAAAGAACACAGCTATGTTAAAACAAAGTGTTAACATGCATTTGTGTTGCTCTGGCGAGGGGCGCTAAAATGTCCTGGGGCAAGATTCGCAAAACAGTTACGCAAGTACTTACGAACGTGTACAGCTTTCTTCAATCTTTGACGGCTTTGGTTACATTTATTAAAGAGTTTACAAGTTTGAAAACTTTTCAATCAACTGTCGTTATTGTTATAAACAGCCTCCTGGTGCTTCAGAGTTCATTAATTGTTTAATTTTTTGTAAACAAAGCCCCCAAAGTTTGAGAAAAGATGTACAGGTTCGTAAGTGCTTGCGTAACTGCTTCGTGAATCTGGCCCCTGGTCATGCTATCTCATAGCATAGGCTACACCCGATGGTAGGATGACCTCAAAGTTGACCTAATGTTTATCAACAAACAATAAAGACCAACTTGTCTATACCTTCGTAAAGACAAGACTGATAAGGGTAAACTTTGAATGGTCAATAACCTGGGATATAAGTTTTTCAATAAATTAATCCCTTGTTATGTAGGAGAAAAATAGTACAAGTGATTGTTTTTGTAATTCTTGGCAATGTTATCGTCACGAAGGTAACTGAACAGAATTGTAATTTTACCAGTGATTACTTTACCATCGGTGATTATTTTCATGCCTGTTTTATATTTTGTGTGGCCTGATGTATATAACCATATTATTATATAGCCATTAATTAGATCTCTGCGGTAAAAATAAAAATTTCTATGCAGGCGATGAGCCACAATAACGTGGCTAAAGTAAGTAGACCAGACCACACACTAGAAGGTGAAGGGACGACGACGTTTCGGTCCGTCCTGGACCATTCTCAAGTCGATTGTGAAGAGGAAGATTGATTGATTGATAAAGATTAAGCCACCCAAGAGGTGGCACGGGCATGAATAGCCCGTAAGTGGTGGCCCTTTTGAGCTATTACCAGTATCAATAGCTGATACTGGAGATCTGTGGAGGTGCAAATGCACCCTGCGTGACGGGAGATGTCTCCTTTGTGAATGTGTTAAGATGAAGATGAAGCCACCCAAAAGGTGGCACGGGCATGAATAGCTCGTAAGTGGTGGCCCTTTTGAGCCATCACCAGTATTAATAGATGATACTGGAGATCTGTGGAGGCGCGACTGCACCCTGCGTGACGGGAGATGTCTCCCGGACCAAGTGGTGGCCAGATGGTGGTGAAGAGGAAGATTGATGAAGATTAAGCCACCCAAAAGGTGGCACGGGCATGAATAGCCCGTAAGTGGTGGCCCTTTTGAGCCATTACCAGTATCAAGAACTGATACTGGAGATCTGTGGAGGTGCGAATGCACCCTGCATGACGGGAGATGTGTCCCTTGTGAATGTGTTAAGATGAAGATGAAGCCAACCAAAAGGTGGCACGGGCATGAATAGCTCGTAAGTGGTGGCCCTTTTGAGCCATCACCAGTATCAATAGATGATACTGGAGATCTGTGGAGGTGCGACTGCACCCTGCGTGACGGGAGATGTCTCTCGTCGTGAAGAGAGAGAGAGAGAAGATTAAGCCTCCCAAAAGGTGGCTTGGGCATGAATAGCCCATAAGTGGTGGCCCTTTTGAGCCATTTCCAGTATCAATAGATGATACTGGAGATCTGTGGAGGTGCGACTGCACCCTGCGTGACGGGAGATGTCTCCCGTGTGAAGAGGAAGTAGATGCAGGCAATAAATAGGCTAGAGATAGGTGAGGAGCAAAGTGTAGTAGAGGAGAAAGTAGTAGGAATAAGAATTGCAGAGGGCCCTATTGGCCCATACGAGGCAGCTCGTATTATAAGCACCGAATGAGGAGATAGTAATAGGAATAAGAAGAGGATAGTAAAAATTTCTACTACTAGATGATGTTTTAGATAAATATTGATAAGTTTCTCTTACAGGTTACATCATAGAGAAGGAGATAAATACAATAAAGAAGCTGGAAGAGCAGACGGACCAACACAAGGCCTGGTTACCCTCCATGTGGGCGTGCAAGATCCTAGCGCAAGCCAGAGAGGGCGGACACATAGAATCCGATCTTGCTCTCAAAGCTATCGTTGCCGAAATACTCGGTATCAGAGTGAAGTGCGGAACTCTACTTGGTTATTACGGCAACAACATTCCTCTTAACTATACCCAGGTGAGGCTGACAGTGTGTGGATGAAGCCAACCAGGATATCTCAATATCTTGATATCGAAATCAGTTGTGGACAACATAAATCATTATAATTGATTTGGGTACACTTTCCCAATGATGAAAGTCTAATATATTTCAGACAAGTAATATCAAAAGTTTCTTGTTTTGAAAATGGGTAATGATACATATTAAAAATATTTGGTGATAAAACGCTGGGCTTTTTTATCAATGAGAGAGAAACACAGACAGACATACAGAGAGGATAGACAGATACAGACACAGGCAGATAGATACAGAGAAAGGTAGACAAAGAGATAGAAACACAGGCATTGTGAGACAGGCAGCGATAGACAGACAGATATATAGGAACAGAGACAGAAAGTGAGGTAGAGAGACATAAAGACAGAAACAGAAATAATGTGACAGTGGCAACAGACAGATACAGATCGGAACGACCCAAGCACCGTCTATAGTACCCTACCTATAGTGACATATAAAAGCAGCAGATCCCTTACACTCCGATACATTTTGTTGATGCAGGTGGTGAATGTAACAGTGTATATTTACTTCGGGTTCTCCCTGATTGCGGAGCAGTTCCTGGACCCCAACATGGGTTATCCCGGCCATACGCTTGACTACTACGTGCCGGTCTTCGGGCTCCTTGAGCTCTTCTTCTACATTGGTTGGCTCAATGTCGCCGACTCTCTCCTCGATCCCTTTGGTGAAGAAGACCACGACTTCGAGTTGTTCAAGTTTTTGGAAAGGAACGTTAAAGTAAGTTGTATTGAGCACTGCACATTGCGAGGCTTTCTCTGTTAGTTTTTCTCATATTTGGGCGTTTACTGGTGCTAGGCGCCCTTTCTCCTCATAGATCCAATTCACGAAGTTAAACCAGCAACATAACACAAAACATCTGGCAGAAACAATCTAGAGCTTTGCTGAGACGTATCCAGACCTTCCTCCTCCTTGTGATGAGTCTTACGTGAAAACCTCACCCTATTACAGCTCGCTAATACAATAAATAGTTATGTATTTCCTAATTACAATATTTTTAAGAAATTATGACATTAGGATAACAAAAAACACCACAAGGATTGCAATGGGATTCATTAGTAGTGTGTAATGTATCTGTGTCAGAGCTTATACATTAGTAATAAATCTATAATAAAGTTTTTTTCCTATTGTTGTTATGCTGAACTAATCGCATTGTGAACAAATATTGTGGCCGTACAGTGGGATCGAACCCGCACCCTTGGACTCTCGAGGCCATGATACCATTGCACGGCCTCAAAATTGTCTTAAATGCATCACGTTGTTGTTGCATTGTGTAATTCAAGCTGAAGTACATTTATTGAGACAATAAAGTAAATCTCAATGGGGTAGAGTAGCTTAGGCTATTTCTACCCACCTCTACTTCAAGTCCTTTAAGGGGCGCACAAATCCAGTGAGTACAAATCTACAAATCACAGTACAAGAATATTATGTAACATTGCAGGTTAATATTGTAAACACAGCATATAAGTGTTATGCTCTTAGGGAAAAATGATTGTAGCCCCTAAGTATTCTATCATACATGTACAATACTTAGAACATTGTGTAATGTTCTTTGTTGATGCAAATGACGTCGTAATACATCTGACGTCACAGATGATGTAATTCAGCCATTTAATTTGAATGACTTTGTCTCGTAGATGACGGAGCTGCTGTGTGACGTGATGCCCAGTGATCTGCCGCCTGGCGTGGGGGAACAGGAGTCTCAGGGTGACGAGAAGCAGGAGTCGAGTCTGCTGACCGACATCTTGCCCTATGACCTCCCAATCACAGCAGACCAACCTGACACACCTCTCTATGACGAAGACGACCTCGATGCCACTAGTATCGATTCCTCGAAGCCGCCAGAATCTTGGTACTACTGAGCTTTATAAGTGGAGTGGACTTAAGGATAAATATGCTTTGGAGACGTAAGGCTATGTTGGAATACTTTACTTGATGCTGGCTTTATATTCACGTGTGTTGTATTAAATATTTTTTGACCTGTCAAAGTCAGCTTGAGAGATATAATGTTAAGTGTTATCAAGGGAAGGAGGTTACAAGACATTTGCTGAATTAGGCTATGCCACTAGTTCCTAATTTTACTATGATTTGGGTTAATCTTAGATTAATTAATAGTTGGATATTGTGTTTATTTATTTTACTTTTATCTTTTAAATATTTTAAATTTACTTCAAATACTCTATATCTATAACCTGATGCGTTATAAGCGATTATTATGCTAATTTATCAATTCCATGTGATTGCTGGTTTAGTTAATAACTTACATTATGTGCTGGTGTTGTAAGAGCTAACTTGCAGATTAAACAACTCTACGGTTGTCCTGGAAGACTATAATGAAGTGTAGTTTAAAGTGTCATGTATTTTGTAATATTTGAAACAATCTTTTGAAATAATATGTATTTCTGTATCATATAGAGACGTATCCACAGACAAAAGACTGGTGAACAATGTGTCTAAGTATATATGTGGCTTAACATTTTCTGGATTTTCTTATCACATATAATTCCCGTTGTCAAGGATAGAAAGCCTAAACATAGGCCTATCGAACTCCCCATAGGCTTTCCTATGGGGTTTTCTTCTGTTCACTTTCCTCAGGGTGGTAGCCCACAACCAGTGCCTTACTCTCAGGTATCGATCGTATTGCTTGGTGGACAGAGGCATCAGATGAAACGAAACTTGCACAACCGTTTCTATCCTGTGCAGGGATTTGATTGATTGTTGCCGCCGAAGGCGGCTAGTTTATTGTGCACCCCATACTCATCCTATGAGCGGTAGCGCAAAAGCATTACAGAGGGCACAAAAGGTCTTTATCAGACCTCATCTTAGATTATTACATAAACAATTTCTTCAATCCTTCACACCTTATAGATACAATGTCAGCTAGTTACAGAGAAAGTGCTATTACAAGAGCTACATATTTACAGTAAGTCATCATACATTAATGGTAGGTCTTATCGCTAATACATAATAGTTTGGCCAATGGGGATATTACAGTCATAGGGGAGCTTCTGATTATTATTAGTCCTCACAATACACTACTTGTTTCTGAATCTCATATGTCGTTCATCTACTGGAAGCAAAATGTGGGTACAGTGAGCTTAGATTTATCTCTAAAAGGCTCAATTTTACTACAATCCAAGATATAGTGTTCGAGTGTGTGTCCCTGCCTATGTCCACACACTTTACACTTTACTTCATCTAGATCCCTATACAAGCCGAACTGCCAGAGATACTTGTAGCCAAGCAGGGAGTGAAGCCGAGTCCTCGATTCTGCTTCCACATCCACCACATCCCTTTGGTGGATGTGTTCACGGTAGTTACAGGTTCTTAATGGTCCACATCACTTGTTGGATGTGGTAATGGGAGAGACCAGCAGTGAAGATGATCTTAAGACGTCTCTATCCTAGTTATCCTCGAGTCCTGTGGAGCAGACAATCCACTCCCTCCCTTCCCCTTCTCTGTTTATCTGTCCAGACGATTAAAGCTAGACTCACCCAACTTTTCATGGTGACACATGGGTGGTATCTGAATGACATAGGCCAGTTTTAGCAAGGTATTATAAGCCTCGCCCACCGTGTTTTAACAAATGAAGTCTACTGAAAAATGTTGACCAAACCATACACTAGAAATTGAAGAGACGACGACGCTTCGGTCCGTCCTGGACCATTCTCAAGTCGATTGATATTGAGAAAATATCACAATCGACTTGAGAATGGTCCAGAAGTGACCGGAACGTCGTCGTCTCTTCAATTTCTAGTGTGTTGTTTGGTCAAAGTGTTTTAGTCTATAACAAGTCTTGACTGCCGTGTTTTAGCAAACAATAATTAAGCCTCGTCCACCTCCGTGTCTTATAGCAGGATATAATTAGCCTCGTCCACCTCCGTGTCTTATAGCAGGATATAATAAGCCTCGTCCACCTCCGTGTCTTATAGCAGGATATAATTAGCCTTGTCCACCTCCGTGTCTTATAGCAAGATATAATTAGCCTCGTCCACCTCCGTGTCTTATAGCAGGATATAATTAGCCTCGTCCACCTCCGTGTCTTATAGCAGGATATAATTAGCCTCGTCCACCTCCGCGTTTTAACATTCTTGCATGAGGCTTTATTGTGAGTCTCGCACCTTATACTCTGTTTGCCCAGGTCATTTATTATTGAATTATCCTTGACGTTTTTATCATGTCATGCTGAATGTATCTTGGTTCCTTTGTCACAAGGGGCTGAGGTAAACCTCTGTTCCTTTGTCACAAGGGGTGAGGTAAACCTCTGTTCCTTTGTTACAAAGGGGTGAGGTAAACCTGTTCCTTTGTCACAAGGGGGTGAGGTAAACCTCTTTTCCTTTGTCACAAGGGGGTGAGGTAAACCTGTTCCTTTGTCACAAGGGGCTGAGGTAAACCTCTTTTCCTTTGTCACAAGGGGTTGAGGTAAACCTGTTCCTTTGTCAAAAGGGGCTAAGGTATACCTCTTCATTTGTCACAAGGGGCTGAGGTAAACCTGTTCCTTTTTCACAAGGGGCTGAGGTAAACCTGTGCATTTGTCACAGGGGGTGAGGTAAACCTGTTCATTTGTAACAAGGAGCTGAGGTAAACCTCTGTTCCTTTGTCACAAGGGGCTGAGGTAAACCTGTTACTCACCAAGGGCCTATGAGAAACCTCTGTTGCCAACCAGGGAACCGAGGTAAACCTGTGTTACTCACAAAGTGGCCAAGGGATACTTTTGAACATTGGGTGCCAGCTTATTGATAAAGCTTAAGCCACCCAAGAGATGGCACGGGAATGAATAGCCCGTAAACCAGTTAATTTTTAAAAAAAATTCTCCGTTGTGTGTGCCCCATATTGATGCCATACCCACAAATACATTTTATATGTATAATTATTTAATGGTTATTTTCAGAATAAAATAATCAACAAACCAGCATTCCTCGATAGTTATAAAACTATTCAAAAGTTGCACCTAAATTGCCTTACATTTAATTCACTATTATTATTATATTTGGCTCAAAAATGTAGTTAATTATCAAGTACTTTATATTTATATATATAAAAATTATTTGTATATTTAATAATGTTTACATTCGTATATATGATATTAATTTGGCGCGCATTCCTCTGGCGACTGGGTCATACTTAGCATAAAAACGTCAGCGACAGTATTGATCTAACTAACGTAAGATGCGTGTTTTTGTATAATTAACGACATTAAACTACAGCTCCCGGACCTAGAGAGACCGACCTGCATGACTTAATGGGTCAGTCTCCCCCTGACAGTGAATGAGACGTGACGCAGTCTGCCTTCTGTACCTCGTCTACCACCTGACTGCCTCGCCTCATTACGGTAAAAAAATAGATATTGACAGGGTAGAATCAGAGGTAATTATATAGAATAGGGTCAGACCTAAGTTATAGGGTAGAGTACGAGCTTAGTATATAGGGTAGAGTACGAGGTAGGTATATAATAGACGAGTCAAAACTAGGCAAAATTTTATTGGAAGATCCTAAGATACGCAGCTTTTTTTTGGCATGGGAGATCGTATGACACACGGATCTGCGTATTTTCAATTGTTCAAAAGTCCAAAGTCTCTAGATGTTTCTTTTACGTATATTTTGTGACGTTTACAAGGTACTGTTTTCATACATTGCGTGAATGTCTAAGAGCGTGATAAAGTAGAGAAAATGAGAGGGACAGAATTGAGAAAGAGAGAGAAAGAGTGAAACAGGAATAATGAGCTCGCATTGTAAGTTAGAACTAAAAAGACTGAGCCTGGGAAAATAATCAATAGAGCATAACTGTTGCAATTATTTGAGATAATACTGCATTGTTGCTGAGAATAAGCTGAGAACAGGTATGTTGCACAGAACACAGGGGTGTTGCGTTGAACACAGGGGTGTTGCGTTGAGTACAGGCGTGTTGCGTTGAGCACAGGCGTGTTGCGTTGAGCACAGGCATATTGCGTTGAGCACAGGCATATTGCGTTGAGCACATGCGTGTTGCGTTGAGCACAGGTATGTTGCGTTGAGCATAGGCGTGTTGCGTTGAGCACAGGTATGTTGCGTTGAGCACAGGCGTGTTGCGTTGAGCACAGGCATATTGCGTAGAGCACAGGCATACTGCGTTGAGCACAGGCATATTGCGTTGAGCACATGCGTGTTGCGTTGAGCACAGGTATGTTGCGTTGAGCACAGGCATATTATGTTGAGCACAGGCATACTGCGTTGAGCACAGGCATATTGCGTTGAGCACATGCGTGTTGCGTTGAGCACAGGTATGTTGCGTTGAGCACAGGCATATTATGTTGAGCACAGGCATATTGCGTTGAGCACAGCGGTGTTGCGTTGAGCACAGGCATATTGCGTAGAGCACAGGCATATTGCGTTGAGCACAGGCATATTGCGTTGAGCACAGGCATATTGCGTAGAGCATAGGCACATTGCGTAGAGCACAGGCATATTGCGTTGAGCACAGGCATATTGCGTTGAGCACAGGCATATTGCGTTGAGCACAGGCATATTGCGTTGAGCACAGGCATATTGCGTTGAGCACAGGCATATTGCGTTGAGCACAGGCATATTGCGTTGAGCACAGGCATATTGCGTTGAGCACAGGCATATTGCGTTGAGCACAGGCATATTGCGTTGAGCACAGGCATATTGTGTTGAGCACAGGCATATTGCGTTGAGCACAGGCGTGTTGCTCAGCGCATAGATGTTTTTCATTGAGAAAAACAGTTGACCACACCGTTGGAGATACTCTCACTTCACTGCTAGCAATAGGTGACCCTACTGTTGTTATCCCCTCATTGTTAGCAACAGGGGACCCCACTGTTGTAAGACACACCTCCCTCATTACCAGTATATTGGAAATACAACAGACTTACATAAGCGTTGATGTGCTAAATTTTTATTCATTGAATAGCCTTACTGAAAGGCCCGAGTCCAGCGGAAGTGTATATATGTACTTTTATACACAAAGTCACACATTTGCAATTTAAATGAACATACGACTGCTGAAGTCAAATATAGTCAATTTCTTTCCTGACTATATTTCTGACTTTCTTTCATTTCTTTCATCATTTATATCGCGAGGTTTGGATTTAAGAGAAAGTGTTTTAGCATAATGGACAATAAGAAAATGTCTAAGACATTGAATGTTCATAGATCATCTTAAACTAGTTCCTTCAGGAAGTAAACAGCATCGATTACCCCTGGCCATACTAGGCTACCAGGAGATTTATCGCTGGTTACAGCGTGGAACGAGAATATATCAAATGATTATGGCATTGGCACATTTATTGTTATATATAGCAATGCGAACAACAAAACTTGCAGATATTATTGATCTTCGCATAGCATGGAATTTGGATGTTATTGGCCAACTCGGTCTTCCTGATCTGAAAATATTACTCAGATCAGTGTTTTTTGTGGGGGATATCACGTGACTTTGACCTGTTTATTATTAATACATGCACTCTGAATACTATGTAGAATACATAGAACATCAACACCACGTGCGGAGAGAAGTGTTTATTTAGATTATTGAAATACATAACATTTGGGGTTTACGGCTCATGCTCGGTGATGATATGGAAAGTTTGTTTACTGAGAATTATATAAAATATATATAAATGTAATAATTTTCTCTGTAAATTAATGTAAATATAATCTCTAAAATTTTAAATCATTAAAAGAAAAATAAGTATTACATTTAGGGAGTTTAAAGTTCATGCTCTGTGATAATGTTAAACACTTGTTTACAGAGAATTATACTACTGTATATGTAATGTAGTATTGCCTTGTAATTTTATGTATATATGATTTACATTGTATTTTATTAAATAAAGAAAAAATACTGGGTTCCATAGACAATCAGAAAACATAATGACCAAGAGTGCCACGACTTTCTAACCTTTCAGTAAAATACAGGAACTACTGCCAGATCAAATGTAAAATTTTCACGAAGAAATTAAAAACGTTTTGCAGTAATTACCGAATGAGTCAGGTTTGGGTAGCTCCGCGGGTGTTAGGACATCTGCTAACATCTAGTCGTACTGATAATGTAAAAAAACAGCCACAGATACTCAATAAAGAAGGAAGACAAAACAGACAAGCACTTCACCGAGAGACAATAAAAATACCTGGTCTACAGAGGACAATTTACGGGGTATTCATGCCCGTTCTACCTCTTGCTTGGCTTAATCTTCATCAATCAATCAGAAGACAATGTAAATTCTGTGCCAAAGAGAAAAGTAGAGTCCAATAAAAATAGTCCACAGAGGGACAATGCACCTGTCTTATAACTGGTATTTTGACGCTAAAACTATGATAAATTGCAGGCGATGAGACACAATAACGTGGCTGAAGTATGTTGACCAGACCACACACTAGAAGGTGAAGGGACGACGACGTTTCGGTCCGTCCTGGACCATTCTCAAGTCGATTGTGATGAGGGTCAATATGATAAATTGTAAATAACACTAGCTAAACTTGACCAGAGTTACATATTGGCTTAAGGTGAACGATCATGTCCAATCAGAACCCAAGATCCGTAAACCTCTTGATTAAATCAGCTCCGTGCCACTCTGTTGACTCAGAACAGTATTAAAATCGTTGTAAATGCAAATTACTTATACACCAAGGGCGTTCGAAAGCGTGACATAGACATATTCATTTATATTTATGTACCCGAGTGGAAATTACACAGACCAACGTGGCTAATAATCGTGGTGAAGGCATGTATTATCTCTGTAATATGATGCAAGAGGCTACCTGGGGTAGACTGTAGACATTGAGATATTATTCAGTGCATTACTCTTCAAATATGCGGTAAGAGGTTTCACGCTCAATACTGTAGATTCATGTGGTCTTCTCACGGGTAGTTTGATCCAGTAGCTGGATATGCATACCTAGTACGTTCCACAACGCCACCTAAATTGCTTCATATTCTTGTCTATAATGAATTTGGTCCTGGGAAGGAGTTTAGGATAAGGATAGATTGTACAGAGTAAAACTTTGAAAACTATATAAAAGGAAATTATAGTTGCTCAGAATCAATTGCCTAAGGCCAAAAATCGTCGTACTAGAAAATGAAAGCGGCTCGCGAAATTGACATACTGTCCTGTCTTTTGTTTTGGGTCCTCTGGTTTGTCAGGGTAAGGGCATTTTTTGTACGATATTTTCTTGACGTTGGTAATGATAGGTTGTTGATGTTAGGCATTAGAGACAACAATAGGTGTGATCAATGTACTGAAATTGAGAATAATTCGCATTTATTTTACGGGTTCACCATAGTCCGTGCTACTTTGTAACTTCTTGTTCCGAGTAGCTGAATCTAAAACAACAACAGCATATATTTTATTTTTTACGCAAAAAGTAAGTTCTTGTAAACTGGATTAAAGACACTCTTGAAGCATTATCTGGACCAAGCATTGGAGTGGATTTAATAAGGGTTTTAATGTTTAATATTGACATTAAATGCAGGAAAATTAAGAATTCAATATTGCAGGCGATGAGTCACAATAATGTGGCTGAAATATGTTGACCAGACCACACACTAGAAAGTGAAGGGACGACGACGTTTCGGTCCGTCCTGGACCATTCTCAAGTCGATTGTGAGAATGGCCAAGGACGGACCGAAACGTCGTCGTCCCTTCACTTTCTAGTGTGTGATCTGGTCAATTCATTTTTTTTTTATGGATAGGCGTGTATATATATGACATCTATACTGTATATTATTTAATAAAGATAAGCAAATTGGAAGTGTAAATCATATACTTTTAATTTAAACTGAAGGAACCATGAAGATCAACAACACACTCCTAAGAATATATTGTAATAGTGTAGGTCTATTGAAAACTATCAACCTATTTGTAATTTATATTCTACATCTGTAGGTGCAGTGTAGGCCTATTAAAAATTAGAAACCTATTTGTAATTTATATTCTATGTTTGTAGGAGTAGTGTAAGCCTATTGAAAACTAGAAACCTTTTGTAATTAGGCTATAAATGGAGGTTCGGTGTATGAACATCGGTAATACATCAATTTCATTATCTCTGTTCATTATCTCATTATCTTCCCCCCCCCTCCGAAAAAAAATTGATTTCCAAATATATTAGAACAGCAAATTGAGTGATAAACAAATATTTAAAATTTTAATCAAATGATAAACAAATGTTGACCCAAATGTTATCTGTTGGCTGTACCGTCTCAATTGACATTAGACACATTGTGTGTGTGTGTGTAAATCACGAAAAATAAACACGTGATTAAAAATGTGACAGTGACAGACCACGGAGGAAAATTATTGTATTTAATACAATAATATATTTAATACAATGTTT